TATTCTTGATCTACTTGCAGAAACTAGAAAGTTGGCAGCCAAACCCTGTAGTACTCCAATGATTCCTAATGTGCATTTTATGAAAGATGTTGGCGATCCTTTTGAGGATCCAGAGAGATATAGAAAGTTAGTTGGAAAGTTAAACTACCTCATTGTGACTCGTCCAGATATTGCTTTCGCGGTAAGTGTTGTTAGCCAGTTCATGTCCGCGCCTACGGTCAAACACTGGGCAGGTTTGGAACAGATTCTATGTTACTTGAAATGAGCTCCTAGACTTGGCATATTGTATAGCAATCACGACCATACTCGTGTTGAGTGTTTTACAGATGCTGATTGGGCTGGACCCAAAATTGATAGAAGTTCTACGACAGGCTATTGTGTCTTTGTTGGAGGGAACCTGGTATCGTGGAGGAGTAAGAAACAAAGAGTTGTATCTCAATCTAGTGCAGAATCTGAGTATAGAGCTATGTCACAGTCTACGTGTGAGATTATGTGGATACATCATCTTTTAACTGAGATTGGGTTGAAGCATCATACACCGGCAAAACTCTGGTGTGATAATCAAGCTGCTCTTCATATTGCCTCAAATCCGGTGTATCATGAAAGAACTAAACATATTGGGTTGACTGTCATTTTATTCGTGAGAAGATTCAGGAAAATTTGATTTCCACTAGCTACGTGAAGACAGGAGAGCAACTAGCTGATTTTTTCACAAAGGCGTTGCATGGAACTCGAGTTAATTACTTTTGTAACAAGCTGGGTATGATCAATATCTATGCTCCAGCTTGAGGGGGAGTGTTACAGAATAATTAGTGAGATGTAAATATATTACTTTCCATAGATAGATGACTCAATTATAGGAACTGATCCTTATGATATTTTCCTTAATTTTGTTTGATTTAGTTTCCTTTGATAGAGTCTTGTGTAAGTGTATAAATCTCTTGTATTCATGAATAGAAATACAACAAGTTATTCTCTCTGATTACAATATTGTTACCATTCTCGAAAAATGTAATATTATTGGTTGGGACGCGAGTTTAATTGTATTTTTTAAAATTTTCAAGTATACATGTATAGTTTGAGTTGAAGATAGTGAATGCACAAACACCTACTGTAAGCCTATTTGGATTGTTGTTCCACATCGTTTCATGATATATCGTTTTGTACGTATTATTGAAGCAATGTCTAACTCAAAAGATATTTCTGTAGACTTCAAAAGAAACCGAGCATTTCTTCTATATCAGTTTTCAGTAGATTTTTGGCATTATACTGAGTGATAGAGATAACCAAGCAATGTTGAGTAGCATCTTTTTTCTATATCAGTTTTCAGTAGATTTTGGCATTATATTGAATGATAGTGAAAACCAAGCAAAAAAACATCTAAAGGTAGATAAATTCACTTGTGACCAGATAGCAACGGAAGAAGGAAGCGTCGGTGAGGTTTTCTACACAGAAGGGAAACAGATGTCAAAGGAGCTAATACCATATAAGAAAATGTCTCCTCATCTATTGTAAATCGTTAAATATAGACGATTACAAGGTTCGTGCACTTACGAGTTTACTACTACTTCAAGCTAGAAAACTGAGGACTGAGATTTCTAAAAGGTGGTGGTCTCTACTTATATTGCCATTTTAGAGGGGGGAAATGTACCCATTTTCCCAAACCAACAGAGACAAACACTCTTCAGCATGCCAAATAAATAGAAGGGACAATTAAACAAGATATTTGAAGAAGCTTACAGAAGGCTAAAAATCAACAATTACCAAGATATCAATCATCCCCTGTTGGAAACAGAGTAATGACCTTCCTCCCATTGACGGGCACGGCATAAGAATCCACATCATCAACATAAGATGACAGCATATGTAGGGACTATATTTGGGGGAGTACTGAAGACAGAAGGAAGCTTGCTTTAGTGGCATGGGAAAGAATATTTCTTCCTAAGAAATTTGGTGGGCTGAATGTCAAAGGAAGCAAACTATGGAATATAGCATCAGTGGGGAAGTTATTATGGCAGATAATCAATAACAAAGAAGCTCTATGGGTTAAGTGGGTTCATGGACTGTATATGAAATCTGATACAAGCATTTGGAGCCATAAGATACCAACTGATTGTAGTTAGCATTGGAAGAAGATTAACTCCTTAAAGGAGGATAAGCATAGGTGGTATGAACAAGGAGTGTATAACTTGCAAAAGGATGGTGGCTACTCAATAACTAGGAGTAATATTGCACTGCTAGGGGAAATGCAAAGACTGCATACGACTTGTTAGGTTTTAGTTTTAATGATGAAAAATAATATAACTGCTTTTGGCATAGGAACTCAAGGAAAGCATCCAAGATTGAAGAAATCAAAAGGAAGGAATCAATCAACCAACTAGAGATTATAAAGGGGAATTAATCAGATATTGATTGAAGCGGAAAAGAAGCATCGAAGATCTTGCAAGATGATCAATCAAGCTCTATTTTCGGAAGGACCAACAATCAAGGAGCAAAACCGCGCTATCAAGATCTGTAGAAGGAAAGCTATCAATGCCCTCTCATCAAGGAAGAGCGACGACAAATAACCTTATTCTTGGAAAGAATCAATTTCTTTCCAAGGATCAAATCTCTTGGGTTGTCAAACCTCTTCAGCAAACGGCCTCCTACAAAGTATTTATACACATCCTTAAGCCTTAGACAAATATACTTTGATTGAACCAAATACCCTCTCTTTGTTCTACTACAAACAAACATTGTAGTTCTACTAGATCTACTGTCTAATAAGTTAGAGAAGAAAGAGAGAAAAATACTGGTGAGGCATTGTATCAAGAAGAAACGAGTGATATAGGAACTGAGCCAATGGTGTAAACCATGCCATTCACTTTGTACTCGAGAAACTCATTCACTGAAAGAGAACTCCCTTGCAACCCAAGGGGACTGGACTAGGATTCACATTGAATTCGAAACAGTATAAAAATTTTGGTGTCTTTAATTCCTGCAGTTTATTTCTGCATCTTAAATTCTGCTCTTACTGTTATCACGTTATTACATCCAGTCGACTAATTTAAAAATTAGTCAACTTGTAGTGATTAAAATATAAAAATAAATAATTCCCCCCTCTTGTACTTGGTATCAGAGCGAGGCTCACATTTTTCTTTTGCTTAACAACTTGTGAGAAAAGATCATGGCAAATCAAGTTATTATCGGAGCACTCTTCCAAGAAGGAACATCGCTAGTGAGGCCACCGTACTTCAATTGATAACATTTCTCTCACTGGAAAGTGCGTATGGAAATATACGCAAAGGCCTATGATGTTAAAGTCTGGAGAGTTATGAAAAAAGGGAACTATCCTCTGCCGGCCGCCGCTCAACCACTTGCTGATCCTGAAGATATAGATTCTTATACAGATGAGCAAATGGCAGATGTGCAAGTTAACAATAAGGCAAAGAATCTGCTTTACAATGCTATAAGTGGTGAGGAGTATGAGAAAATCTCTAGTTGCGATACAACCAAAGATATGTGGGATAAACTTGAAGTTACGTATGAAGGAACCAGTAAAGTAAAGGAAACACATATCAACATATTGGTTCATGACTATGAACTCTTTCAGATGAAAGAAGGAGAATCTATTGAAAAGATGTTTGCCAGATTCAGCAAAATCATTAGCGGTCTAAAAGCTTTTGGCAAATCATACTCAAGTGGTGATCAAGTTAGGAAGATTCTTAGAAGTCTACCCACTACTTGGCAGACAAAAGTGGTTACGCTTGAATCACATGATCTGAATAAGCTATCATATGATGAACTTTGAGGAGAACTCATAGCTTTCGAGAAAACTCATCTCAAGAAAACAAACCAGGAAGAAAAGAAGAAAACCGTTGCATTCAAGGCCACAGCTGAAAAAGCAGAAAATGATATCGATGATGACCCTGAAGCTCTTCAAGAAAAGATTGCCATGGTGTCAAGGAACATAGATGATTTAATGAGAAGATACAGGAATGTGAGAAGAGGAAGGATTCCACCCAGGCGATCCACGCAATATAATGAACAAGACAAAAATGATGGAAAATGCTATGAATGTGGAAGATTTGGACATGTTCAAGCTGAATGTCCTGATCTAGAAAGAAAAATTTCCAGAGGCTTCAACAAGAACAAATCATTTGGAAGATGGAGTGATGAAGACAGTTCCGAACACGAAGAGATATCAAATCTTTGCTTCATGATAATTTTGGAAAACGACATGACCAAACTCTCAGGGTGCTGGACAGATGAGGACACTTCAGACGATGAATGCAAAGATGACAATGAGAACTGTTTCATGGCACGTGGTGAAACAAGCGAGGTAAGATCTTACAACTGTGAAAGGTGTAATGAATTGCAGGATATTCTTGAGAAATAAGCCGAATGAGGATAGAAAAGTTGTGAGAAACAAAGCCAGATTAGTTGCTCAAGGATACTCACAATAAGAAGGAGTCGACTATGACGAAACCTTTTCCCTAGTAGCTCGACTGGAATCTATACGAATTCTTCTTGCATATGCATCCTTTAAGAGATTCAGGCAATTCCAGATGGACGTTAAAAGTGTCTTTTTGAATGGTTTCATTGAATAGGAAGTATACGTGAAATAACCTCCCGGGTTCGTAGATTCAAAGTTTCCCTACCATGTGTATAAACTGACCAAAGCGCTGTACGGATTGAAACAAGCTCCACGGGCATGGTACGAAAGACTCAGCTCATTTCTTATTGATCATGGATTTACAAGAGGTAATGTAGACACTACCCTATTTATTAAAAGATCATTAGAAGGTAATCTCATTATTCAAATTTACGTTGATGATATTATCTTTGGTAGTTCTAATCCTCTTCTGTGCAAGGAATTTTCAAATCTTATGCAAAGTGAGTTCAAAATGAGTATGATGGGAGAGCAAACATTCTTTCTTGGACTTCAAATTCAACAATCTAAAGAAGAAACCTTCATATGTCAGACAAAATATACAAAGGAGTTGATTAAAAAATTCGGTATGAGCAATGCTAAAGCTATTGGCACACCAATGAGTCCTTCAACAAGTCTCGACAAAGATGAACAGGGAATTCCTATTGATGAAACTAAGTATCGTGGAATGATTGGCTCACTTCTTTATCTAACTGCTAGTCGACCTGATATTATGTTTAGTGTCTGTAAATGTGACAGGTTTCAGTCAGCTCCTAAGGAATCACATTTGACTACAGTAAAAAGAATTATTCGATATCTCATTGGAACTGTCTCTCACGGATTATGGTATCCACGATCTAACAATTTTAAATTAGAAGGTTTTTCAGATGCTGATCTTGCAGGTGATATAGAAGACAGAAAAAGCACCAGTGGAATATGCATATTATTTGGAAAGGCACTAATATCTTGGAACAGTAAAAAGCAAGGATCAGTAGCATTATCCACGACTGCAGCTGAGTATATCGCCATTGGACAATGTTGTGCACAATTACTATGGATGCCTCATCAACTGGGTGACTATGAATTATAAACCTATTCCAATTTTCTGTGACAACTATAGTGCTATATGTCTATCTAAAAATCCCGTGCATCATTCTAGGGCTAAGCATATTGATATCAAGCATCATTTTATTAGAGATCATATTCTTAAGGGAAAATAGAACTATCTTTCGTTGGAACTACTGATCAATTAGCGGATATCTTTACTAAGCCATTACTAGAGGACGAATTTTGCTTTTTAAGAGAATTACTTGGTATTCTTTGCATTAATCATTAATATTAGGACCTATGTGTTACTATTATTTTTTTGTATGCCTATTGTTAAAACTTTGTTGTTTTCTGATCATTAATTGCGCCTCTGAATTCCCTCTCTTTTCCTCTCTTTTCACATCAGTTACAGAGTTCAAAGAAGGAAACCCAATCATCACGTCTGTTCAACTGACACCCTTTCCTTTTCTGTACTCAACCATCAGAAACCCTTCTTTTAATACCTGAAAACCCTTCTCAGTCCCCATCGTCCCCATCGCCTAGAAACCCTTTCCAAAAGTTTCTCTCACCAAAATCTCTTCCATGGACAAACACTCAAAAAATCCTTCTACTTCTACCAGGAAGAGTACTCGCTCCAGAACAAAACCCCTATCTCAACCTCCAGAACAAGTAGACCTAGGGTTCGACCATTCTGAAGGTTTTGCCTCCTCTCAGGCGGACCTCTCAGATCATTCTCATACTTTAGGAGAAAAAGCCTTGGGAAAAAGGCTTATGGAAGAACCCCCTGAATCCTTTACTCCAAAGAAGCCGAAAATAGATCTCTCTAGTTCTTTAAAGTCTGACCTAAATTTCTGGGACTCTCCAAATAGGGATTTTTTCATTGCTTTGAAAGACAAGCCAATTGCTCATGGGAGGGTAGTCGACCTTGATGACATGGAAGCCCTAAATTGTAAGGTAAAAGATCTGTTTGTTCATCAGGGCTGTTCTAAATTCTTTTCTGTTCCCCATCCTAAAGTCTATGAACCCCTAGTGAAAATGTTTTATGCAAATCTTCGTTCCAGTAAGTCTGATAAGTTGGAATCCTTAGTGTTAGGGAAGCGCATTGTTCTTGATTGTGCCATGTTTGATTCAATTTTCTAGTGTAAGTGTTTTGGTTTTCCCATGCTTTTCAAAAATTCATGTCCTGATGACTTTGAAATCACTTTTGATCAAGAAAAATGGTGTATTGCTGAGTGTCCATATGATTCACTCCCAAACCAGTTAGGTCCTAGTGATGTTAGCTTTGAAACTCGTGTTCTAGCCCAAATTGTTGCAACTACTCAACTTCCTCGTACTGACTCTGTCTCCACCTTCTCTCAAAGAGATACCTTTCTTGTCTATTGCCTTGTGACAAATATAAAGATCAAACTGTCCTCCTGGGTCATCAATTTTATTATTGAGAGTGCTGATGATCCTACCAGTCTACCCTATGGCATGGCCATCACTCACATTATGGAGGCACATAATATCTCCATCACTGAATATCCCTTCATCTCTGTTTCAAAATCTTACAATTCCAGAGAGTTTGCAAGTATGGGGTATATGTGTCTGAAAGGCTCATGGGTAAAGAAACAAGAAGGTGAAGTTAAACATGCTCAACTTGATCCAAAACCCAAACCCTCTATTTCCCATCATAGTCTCAGTGTCCCCGACCTTGCTGAGAAACTAGTTGCCATTGACAATCAGCTGTCCACTATCAAAGATCTCCTTACTGCTACCCAGTCTACTGTTGGAGATATTCATGCTGTCTCAAAAGAGACAGGGTCTGATGTTTCAAAGATAAGAGTTGCAGTTCTCAGAGTTAGGGAAAACGCAGTCAAGGCATTCAAGGAGGTACACGACAGGCTTGATGGAGTGACTATCTCAGCCAATGCCAGCTTTGATCAACTAAAGGAGGCGATATGCAACACTCTTATTTCTTGCGTCGTTAATGTGGAAGTTTAAGACAATATTTTTGCTGTGCTGTTTTGGACTGGATAACCAGTCGATTAGATGATTTTTGCTTTTCTTTATGCTGTTTAGACAATATGTTTTGTTTTGCCATAACTCTGCTAGCACATCATGTTTATAGTATATCGTGTTTTAGTATACAACGTGTTGCTATCTTATCCCCTCTTTGCTGATGCCAAAAGGGGGAGAAAGGATATCTATATTCATGTAGATAGTGCAGGTACATCCATTGCAGAGGAAGTCGACTATAGATACTACAGGAGAAGCTAACTAAAAGAACTCCCAACGGCACCTCTTGAGGGGGAGTCAGAGATCTTGCAGAAGCAGTCGACTAAAGGAAGCACCTACAGAAGGGGAGCCAACTGCACTCATTGGGGGGGGGGGGAAGGGTAAAATACAGGGAAGTCAACTGATGTTTACATGTTTACATATATTATTTTGTCATCACCAAAAAGGGGGATATTGTTAGGTTTTAGTTTTAATGATGAAAAATAATATAACTGTTTTTGGCATAGGAACTCAAGGAAAGCATCCAATATTGAAGAACTCAAAAGGAAGGAATCAATAAACCAACTAGAGATTCGGAAAGGGAATCAATCAGAGATTGATTGAAGCGGAAAAGAAGCATCGAAGATCTTGCAAGATGATCAATCAAGCTGCTATTTTCGGAAGGACCAACAATCAAGGAGCAAAACCGCGCTATCAAGATCTATAGAAGGAAAGCTATCAATGCCCTCTCATCAAGGAGGAGCAACGACAAATAACCTTATTCTTGGAAAGAATCAATTTCTTTCCAAGGAATAAATCTCTTGAGTTGTCAAATCTCTTTAGCAAACGACCTCCTACAAAGTATTTATACACATCCTTAAGCCTTAGACAAATATACTTTGGTCGAACCAAATACCCTCTCTTTGTTCTACTGCAAACAAACATTGTAGTTCTACTAGATCTGCTGTGTAACAAGTTAGAGAAGAAAGAGAGAAAAATACTGGTGAGGCATTGTATCAAGAAGAAACGAGTGATATAGGAACTGAGCCATTGGTGTAAACTGCACCATTCACTTTATACTCGAGAAACTCATTCACTGAAAGAGAACTCCCTTGCAACACAAGGGGACTGGACTAGGATTAACATTGAATCCGAACCAGTATAAAATTCTGGAGTCTTTAATTTTTGCACTTTATTCCTGCATCTTAAATTCTGCACTTACTATTATCACGTTATTACATCCAGTCGACTAATTAGGAAACTAGTCAACTTGTAGTGATTAAAATATAAAAATAAACAATTCACCCCCACTCTTGTACTTTCACGACTGACTTGATATGGAGTAGTGTAGCACAGCCAAAACAAAGGTTTTTTGTGTGGCTGGGAGCTTAAGGGAGACTACTGACAAAGGAAAGGCTGGTGAAGTTGCAGATTCATGTGGAAAATGTGGAGTGTTGTTTATGTGCTGAACGGCAAACCGAAACAAGTCAACACTCATTTGTTGAATGCAACTAGATAAGAAGTGTTCGAGCTGAGCTACTGAGATGGCTTGGTGTACAACTGCAGGAGACATATTTAGGAAATGATCAACATAAAAAAGAAGAAGTGGAAACAGTTAAAGAAAGAAGTGGTTGCTGCAACAATGGGAGCTATCTTCTACCATACGTGGAAGGCGAGGAATTGGAAGATCTTGAAAGAAGCTAATGTAAAAAGTGTAGATATTGTGGAACAGATTAAGCAGGAAATGTTAGTTAGATTAAGTGATATACATAAGTCAAGGAAGGCCAATAGTTGTAGAGAATTTCTGAGGAACATCACTGCTGTATAGTTTAGTTTGAGATGGAGCATTCATAGATCCTTTAAGAAGTGTATTATGATGTAAAGTGCTCAATAAGTGTAATCATTTGGTTGATCAATGGTAATATTCACAATGTTATCGAAAACATAAGATGACACCACAGGACTACTAATATGCACTGATGTTCCCATTCTCTGAACCTGTGATTGCTTAGACAGAATTGGATACTCAAAATACCCATCCAACGGTGCCTCAATATGCCTGTAATGCAAACCAGCCGACCGCTAAACACCCTATACATACTATCCTTGTCAAATGGCTACACCAACAAGCTCAATGAGGCAGTGCGGAAGGGGTTATTCAGAATAGAAGGATCTTGGGTTGCTGGTTTCTCCAGCCACATTATGTTAGCTTCAAGGTTTCACGTATTAATTTTGATGATAACAAACCAACACAATTATTAATCAAAGAACATTTACTTATGGTAATCTTATTTTTGTACAGGTTTATTCAAGAAAGAGATGCTGGTAAAAATTCAAACAAATATGGGAAAGAGAATATTATGTGAAGAATTTATCTAGGAAGTTTATTATGGGAAAGAGAATATTATGGGAAAGTGAATATCAAATATTGAATGACTCACTACAATATCAGAAGAAGAATCTACAAGATATTATGGATGGAAAGTTTTTCAACATCTTGAAAGGAAAGTTGCTAGAATCATGGAGAAGATCTATTATTTTGTGGAAGAAAAAAACTACATGGACTTGAAAGGAAAGTTGCTAGAATCATGGAGAAAATCTATTATTTTGTGGAAGAAAAATACTACATGGAAAAGATACTACAAGACCAAGGAAGAATATATTTTCCATGGAAATAAAATATATTATGGATGTAGTACAATCTATACTATGGAAAGAGATTATTTTCCAAGATCAAGAAAGGAATATTTTTAATATAATAGGAGAAGAATATATTTTCTATGTAAAGTAAATATCTCTATTATGGAAGATTATTTTACAAGATCAAGAATGAATTTCCAATGGGAGTTCAAAGATGCCATTATTATTTATGGAAAAATATTCTTACTACATTTCCCTTTGGTATGGAAAAATAAAATAATGTATGGAAATAAGTTTGAGTTCCATATAAAGAATGACTATTGCTCTTATGGAAATTCATCAGGGCTATGGAAGGTTGAAGAAGATGCACGTGGAGAACTATTGCTCTTATGGAAATTCATCAAGGCTATGGAAGGTTGAAGAAGA